CTGCAAAGGTGACAACGTTTTTGTGATGTGACAAGCATTTCTGAAAAGGACAAGGGTTTACTGTTCACACTTCTGGTGATGTTTGAACAGAGACTTGGCGCTGGCATTTAAGTCCCTCTTGCTGGTTTCTCAGGTAGTCAAATTCCAGAGAACATAATAGAGTCTAAGACCACTGGGTCTCCAAATCACAAGGCAGTTGTCTCCCCTGGGGGTAAAGTATAGAGACTGCATGAAAGAGACTTGTAAGTAGAGAGAGCAAATCCCAGAATCAGCTAAGATGAAGGAGCAACAGTAAGGGGGCTTATTTTATGCACCAAGTACAAGATTGGGTACCTTACACAGCTCTCTTTCCGATGGTTTGGACCACCCAGTGAAGCAGGTGGATGCCTATTATGAGTGACTGTCCTTGCAGGCAAGCCACTGCCATCTTGGGGAGCTCAGCTGAGCGACCTTGCAATGGGGGCGTATCCCAGCTGGGCTTGTTGTTTATATCCCTTCATGGACATGGAGGAGGGTCAAGAGGCTCTCACCTGCCATCCAGCTGCTCTCTGACACCCATTGTATGCAATGCTGCCTTAATTGCACTTGCCCTGGGGGAGGAACTAGACAGATTAGCTAGCTGAGATGTGGCTGATTTTAGCTCCACCCCACTCCCTACAGTGCTGGGCACCTTAAATAACTGCCTTCCTGCTTCTGAACTTGATTTCTTTTTAAATCAAGTCTCACTGTGTAGCCCAGGTGGTCTCAAACTCGTGATTCTCCTACTCCTGCCTCAGAGGGCTGGGATTCTAAGCATGTGACATCATACCTGACTTATAGTTTGGACATTTAGCGTCTCCTAAAGGTCCCCAGAGTGGCACCACTGGGAAGTGGTAGAACCTTTGAAGAGGCTCTGACACCCCATATCTTCCTGTTTCTTAACTTTCCATCATGTGCCACCATAAGCCTAACAGCATGGATAGGGCCAAATAACCACGGACAGAAACTTCTAAACCCAGGAGACAAAAATAACTCTCTTTGTAAGCTGGTAGCTGTCTGTCGAATTGTCGGAAAGCTGGATGACAACCCCCACACGATTTCAAGTGGACAACAGTAGTGTATCACTGGTGTCACAGCCAGAGCAGATGACAGGCCTGGTCACGAAGACAGTGCCACCAGGCACCCAGACCCGAAACCCACCAGCCATGGTATATCCAACGCTGTGTTGAAGATGCAGCTGCCGTCACCTTGGTTACTGGCTCCCTCAATGTGGCCACACAACTGTGCCAGAGTGGAGACCAGGGGGCACTAATAAGTAAGTGCTCAACTCACACTCAGATGGGCGTGTCAAATTCTGTGATGTAAACGCTTCCATCACGGGCAACTTCCAGTTACTGATGAATGGCATCGGTGAACTTGAGGCTGGAAGAATGAGCAGGAGCACACAATATTTCTACCACACATGTGACAGCCAGAACTTAAAGAGCACACAGAATATTAAATGTCTGCTAGGAAGTGGGCTTGTGACTACACCTCTGTGTCTTCTGGGTAATCAATCCAAGCTTGCATAACTTTGCTTTTATCAGTGGCTGCACTTAACAGTTGCTTCCTGTAAGCCATAATGAGCCACCTCAAACACACAGCTCACTGGAAAAGGAGGAAACGTGGTGGTCACGTGGTAGCCAAGGGTCCAAGTTCAAGACCTAGAGAAGCCTTTCTAGGGCATCCGGGGATGCTGGTCAGGGAAGAACTGCGTGGGCCGTGGGAGATGGCAGGGATGGTCACATAGTGGTCGAAGTCTTGAAGCTGTCGTCTGTGTGGCTGTTTCTGGATCATAAGCAGCAACTGAGACCCAACGCCCAATTCCTACTGAGGTCTTCCTGTACTGACAGAGCTGTGAAGAATGGGCTGGGCATTCCCATCCTGTCATATGCAGTTCTCTGTGAGGAAATAATATTCTTCCCAAACAGGGTCCCTACTTTTCCCCGGGAATACCCACCAGGTGTGTCCTGAAGAAGCCCTGCCTTGCTTAGCTCCACCTCCCAGGTAGAGTCCTGTCGGAAGAGCAATCTGGAATCCACCCCTCCTTGCTCACCTCCCCTGATTCACTTTGGAGCAGAAGCAGCCTGGGAGATGGCTGGTTTGGCTCTAAGGAACAGGGGAAGGTTCTACAGAGTCACATGCCAGAGCACAGTGTGGAACAGAACAGCCCAAGTCCCCCCAAAAGAAAGGGCTATAAACTGGATCTGCGTGATAACAGTGTGAGTGCAATTAATTGTTGTCAAAGCATTTTGCTGGCTGCATTCATCTCTTATGTGGGAGAATAAAACTGTCATAATGATGACAATTTTATTCAACATTGGTGCAATTACCAAGCCTAAAAACAGGGAGCAGAGGGGGTATTTTTCTTGAGACTGAGCTGTTACCCCTGTTGCATGGCTGGGACTGTCACTGCCACCCCCTACCCCCACCCGCAGGAAGGAGAGAGAACAGGAAGAAAACTGAGACGCACTGAGCATTGCTACTATGAGCCACATCTAGTTTTGTTTTTTTTTTTTTTTCTACATAATCCTTTGGGAGGGAGGGGAAGTGTGGGGAGGAGAGAGGGCCAGTGTGGGGAGGATCAATGAGATTTCCTGGCTCAAGACTGCAGAGACAGGCTCACAGTTGACACCACTCCCATGGGAGGCAGTATGCACCCCCTGTGATAGATGAGAAAGTGGGGCCTCAGAAAAGTTAAGCACCACCAAGTCACCACCCCGTCTTCCTGATGGCAGTCAGGCACCGCAGGTTGCTTGCCGTGAGACACGTGAGACACGTGAGGCGGCCGCTCAGATCCTATCCTGTCCGTCGTCTCTCCCTTTCTTCTCTCTTCATCACATCCCATCACCCTTCCCACACTGCTTCACTCTTTTGAGGATGCAAAAGCATCAAGGCCCCAGAAGCAAAAAGACTTGGGTTGGCAACTTGGCAAGTGTGACTTTGGCTTGGGTCCTTGACCTCTGTAAGTTGTGTACCACGGCTTTCAACTATGACCGTGAAGACAGTCATAGTACCATGGTGAGGACTGAATGAGATGTGTATGGAATGGGTGGCATGAAGCTGGGCATTGGGTAGCGGGGCAGAATTTCCTACATAATCACCATTACCAGGCACAGCAGACGTGAAGTCACACCATCTTCACAGCAAGCTAGGGCGGAGCCTGACATTCTTCTTTCACCTTAGTGAAGGGTGACCTTATGTGACACTCTGCCATCCAGGTCACACAGCACAGCCACACAGGGCTACAGCAGGGAAACAGAGCCCTTTTTCCAGGTCAGCTCAGGCACAGGCTACACCCCTGAAGCCCCCTGACCTATGCTTGGTACATGTGTTTTATCTTGCTCAACAAAAACATTTCCTTTGGATTCTTGAGACTCTGGGAAATTTGAGGCATTTCTCCTGCCTTGCTCTCTTTTTCCTTTCACGGGGCACACAATGAGAGACAAAGTTAGCCATGCAAGCAAAATCACGTGGGAAGAAGCCCGAATGGTTTTAAAGCCACTCCTCTGAGCAGCTGTGCGTGTCTTCAGGCAGCTCCTCTCATTTGCCCAGGCACCTGGCACACACCTGCACTGCTCCATCAAGAGCCCATCTGGCTTATTTTTACCATCAGGAACATGAGCTTCTCCTGGGGGACTGAAAATGTGCTGTAACTCCCACGAGATCACTGGACTTCCTTCCCAGTCACAGTTGGTGGCAGGGGGAAAGTTTGGAAGGCTTTTCTTTCATAAAGGTAAGAACTGCCCAAGAGGCACCGGCAGCTTTTAAAGCTTTTAATGGACTAAGGGAAGAATTGTTCACCTCCTTTAAAGAAACCCACGCCCCAGGCACGTCCTCTAAAGCTCTGGGCCTTAAGATCTTTTCTCATAAAAGTCAACGCTAGCCATTGAACTTACCAGGACCCCGAGCTACAGGGGTGACAGAAAGGGCATGTTCTCTTAAGTCAGACATCAGGTTCAAAGGCAAATCTTCAAAGTCCCCTCTCTTGAAAACCGAGAAAACAACTGGATTTTGTGGAGGATTCAATGTGCTAGGAAGTAGTCTGGAATGTAAAGCCCTGGAGTTATGAATTTCCCAATTCCACATTAACCATCTTTGATATCAGTGTCTCCTATCAAAAGCTACTGCGAGCCCTTTTGGAAGAAGGTGACGTATGAAACAAACTCATCCTGAGAGGCACACAGACCCCTTCCTTATCCTCTCCATGTCAGCTGCTGTTTTTGCAAGATGATGATGGAGTTAGCTTTGTACCTGTCACCCAGACGCCACGCTTGCTGGCTATAACTAGATATCCTGGGAATGGTACCCACATGAGGCCATGCAGCCCCAACAAGCTATGCAGCAGTAACAAGGGCTCTGGCCAAGGAAAGCATTCTCCCAAACCCCTACTGCAAAGACTGATTTTATATTGCTGGCCCCTCAGGGAAGCTGCATTTTGTTTTCGTTCTTCCTTGTGAATCTTATTTTTTTCTCCCTATTTTGTTTTCTGCACAATTTTTAGAAACATGGTGTCATTTTGAAACTGCTTTTTCTACCTACTAGTTTGCCAGCCATATGGAGACACACCCAGCCCCGGATGGGTTGAAATGAAAGAGCCGGTAAGGTGAGCCACTGAAGTTGTCGCTGCATTTTAAACATAGCACACAATGTGTTACACAAACACCATTCAAAAACCTGAGTCACAGATTCAGATGGGAGCATATATAAATAGCGTGTGTGTGTGTGTGTGTGTGTGCGCGTGTGTGCGTGCGTGCGTGCGTGCGTGTGTGTGTGTGTGTAATGGTAGAAAAGCAAGGAAGTTTGAGGAATCAGGTCAAAAACCTCAGCCTTGTCACTATTTACACCCCCTCATACGACTCCCACCCAAAAATGGAGCAAAAGCCAAGTGGAAAATTGAAATAAGCGGATGTCCCCACATTGAACTGAACAACACAAAGGCTGTGTGGCATCAATTGAAGTGATAATTACGTTGTCTTACTTCCTGGCTGTCCATACCCACACACAGTGCAGCTCTCTGTTTCTGGGCTTCAAACTGTTTTGAGGGTTTGTTTTTTAGGTTTTGGCTCATGCCAGCCAGTTTATTGGCATGTCAAGACTCTGACAGATTTTTGGTGCAGTGACAAAATACATCTTGGGATGGTGAAGAACTCACACCTGGGACATGTTGCAAACATTTTAAAAATCCATTTTCTCACACTCCCCTCCCCAGTTCACGTTGGGCACAACTTGCTGCCAACACGTTGCCCCACACCCAGCTCAGGAAGTCACTGCTCAGGCTCTTGGACACAAACAGAGCCTAAAAATGACATGACAGCAGGCTCAGGGCAGACCCTGAAGCTTTGGCCTTGCACTGAACAAAGCATGAGGCCAGAGGTCTGGAAAAAAGCTAACATGAGTCTTGGGCAGCCCGTGGTGTCCGTGAGGATCTCAATCATCTCTGAAGACCCAGCCTTGGCCCTGAGTCACTCTGTCCCTTGGTTGGTACCTTCCAGCTTCCAGCCTCATTCCCACCATCAAGGCAGGCACTCCATGTGAACTTGCAAGGTACTGCTGTTCAGCAAAGTGGATGAAGGAAGCAACAACTGCATCTCCAAAGGCTGAGTGTTGCATCAGCTATAAGCTGGCACCCCTCACACAGAAGGGCTCTGCATCCATGTGAGATGTGGACGGCAAAGACAGCGATATACACAGCAACAACAGACACACATGGGTGACACGGCCCTGCTGCTGTGTGACTCCAGTTCCTTCCATTCAGTCTCTGCCAAGCTGGGTGTCTCCATCATCCCCGTCTGGTCCTTCTCTAGCCACAGCCACAGTGGTTCCCCAGCCTCGGCCTCTCCATCAGCAGAGTCTGAGTTAGGAGCTCACTAAGGTGTAGATCATGCTGAATGCAAACAGAAATGGGAAAACAGATGTCAGCAGGAGCCCGTGACTCTCAACAGTCCCCTTCCAAAGCTGGAGCCCATGGATTCACCTCAGTCCTGTCTCTATGGTCTCCGACTCACCTACTGAGGCTTTGCTAAACCCCACGATGCAGAAGTGTTGTCTGTTAGAAAGGCATCTCGAATCCTGCGTCCCGAATCCCGCATGAAAGATGTGTTGTCTCTGGATGCCTGTGAGTACACTCATTGGGATGACCACTGTGGCCAGGTGCCTACGGGTGCGGGCAGAGCAGACTCCTCATACCATCAGCTGCTGCCATGTGCTCACATGATGGCTCACTATGTAGAGTCCCCGGGTGATGCTACATAGTGTGCCAGCTCCAAGGGTCAGGATGAAGACCACTGTCACCAATGCCAGTGGGGTGCATGAACACAGTCCTCAGGGCAAATAATGTCAGCCAATCTGAACTCGGTATAGGTCCCCAAACCTCCTGCTTGAGGGGATGAGTAGTGACCAAGTAGGGGCCTAACAAGGGTTTCAGGCTAATTTTGCAAGACTGATGTGTTGACCAGAACTACAGTCTACTGCTTTGTCTATTTAGAAGAGGAAGATGCACGGCTTTTTCCATTAGAGACCCCTCCCCTAACTCTAACATGATATCCAAGAAGCAAAAGCAAATAAAAAGACCTAAAGTATTTTCCTCCTAATCCTGCACAGCTGGGAAACCACAGGGATCCTCTGAAGTCTCCCATGTAGAGCATGTGCCAGGCCCCACTGGTTGGATTTGGAGCTCAACAGATAGATTCTCACTGTACAGCTCATGACAGATCAACCACATTCTAACTCCAAAGCCATTCCTCTGTCCATTGTGGACTGAGCCAAATTGTGGAGAACCCTGGTTAACTCACTGTAATTCTTTTTACTTGGTATTCACTGAACACCTACTATGTACCAAGCACCACTCTCGGTGCAGGGAAATAATGGTGAGTGCATAGTTTGGACCCTGACCATGAAGGAACATGCAGCCAAGCTGTGACAACAAACATCATAGATTTAGTGAATGCCTACTATGTGCTGTGCTCTGGGCAGAGCACTGTAGAGATAGAGAAGAAGGGAACAGATGAGTTCTCTGCCATCTGGAGACAAGTGACCCATCAACAACCTAAGTATAGACTGAGAGGAAACAGCCAAGGCAAGACTAGGACGGCCCAAAGGGATGGAATGATGCAGCTTCGGCGAATAGCGTGGGCCAGCATTACACTCAGAACCCTTCTAGCCAGGTCCGGTGGTGCCTGGGATCCTGGCTTCACAGTAGACTGAGGCTGAAGGTTCAAGGTTAAGGGTAGCCTGGGCGATTCAGCAAAACTCGGACTCAAGTAGAAAAAGAGCTGAGGGCACATAACTTGGTGGTAGATTGCTTGTCTAGCATGGCTGGGACCCTAGGTTTGCTCTCCAGGACAAGGAAAGAGGACAGAAGAGGAGAGGAAAGGTGGGGTGGGGGGGGAGAGGAAGGGAAAGGGAATGGGGAGAGGATAGATAAAGGGTGGGGGGCAAAGGAAAGGGAGGAGGATGCAAAGTGGAAGGAGAGAGAGAGAGATTAAAAAGTCCTCCTACTGAGTAGGCAAACCGTGTACACTGGACTCACCAGTTGACTGTAGCCTCATCTCTGTCACACATAATCCATAAATATCACCCGCACCACAGGGCATTCCAAGAAGGGACAGTGGTGGGAGCCACATGGCCAGCAGAGTGCAGTAGATCAGGGCTCATTATTTGGGCTTGGAGACATTTCTTAACCTCTCTGAGGCCTCACTGTCCAGTGGTCCTTAGCTTCTATTTCAGTTTCAGCATCTCCAGCTCCACACTCAGCTCAGAGCCTGCCCTGCATGGACCTCCCCTCCCTTCACATGGCCCAGATGAACGCTCTGCAATCTGCCAGTTCTCCATCTGGGTTTGGGAATTCCCCAGGTGGAAGACACAGGGTCTTCTGGGAGACATGGGGGGCACTTTGATGTTGGGTGTGGTGAAGAATGAGGCCCCCTGAGTTAGTGCATGGGCTTCAGGAAGGTGGAGAACTGTGCTTTGAAGACAAAGCTGTGAGCTTGCTGTATGCATGCCATGGCAAACTGCAGCTGAGACTAGGAGGCAGAAAGTTCAATGGCCTATGAGGGACTTATAGAATGATTGCTCCCAGATAAAGGCCCAGAGCCACCAACATTTTCCATGCTAACCCTCCTGCCCTGTGGCCCAGCAGACAGCAGTGTTGCTTTCTGGGAATTCCTCTCTACCTTTGGCTCTAACAGCTCACACCCACAATGAATGCTTTAGTCTCCCAAAGTAAGATGGATCTCAGGATAATGGGCCAGGAGCCAGGGAAGGCCTAAGCCATGTTCTGCTGCTATCTGGGGACAGGCCACTCAGCCTATGACTGCAGGTGGCTTATAGCCTCGTGAAGAAAGTGAGGCCAAACTCACTCCAGAGAAGAAACTGCACCTGAAAACCCGCCAAGGAGTGGCCTCTGCCTTCAGACAAGCTTTGTGCACCCTCTGTAGCCTCCTGGGAGAGCAGGAAGCTAGAGTGGCTAAGCCCTTAGCCAAAAGGACTTGGATGAGCTGCTGGTCACCTCAGTTTCTCCAAGGAGGCTCCAGGGGCCCTCTGACTTCTACAGCTTGGAGCAGGAAGCATCAAGACCCTCATGAAGGATAAAACTCTGAGGCTGGAGTAACCCTTGACTTCATGAAGAAAGCACTAGACTAACTCTGTGACACCCTCCCCACAACTCCTCACAGCTGAGGTGAACCATGAGGCCACACCTCCCAGGCCTCTGTATGTGCCGATCCTGGAGACTGAGGTGGGAAGCAGGAGCAAAACAGCCTTCTAGTGTTCCGGGTTCAGACACATGGAGCAGAGTAGTGTGGAGCTCATGCAAAGTGTAGGACTCGGGACAGTAGATCTATTTCTCAAAGGCCTGGGAGCCATCAGCTAACTGTGCTATAGCCAGCCGCTTGTCTATCCCCTGGCCCTCACTTTGAAAAAGACTTGCTTAGGATTCTCTACTCAGTTTGAAGTTTGGCCTCTGAGTCATACTTAGTGTGACCATTGGCTGTGACCTTGGCAAATGTTTCTACCTTCACAGATCCGTGTTCCTCACTGGAAATATGTGGGTAAGGACAGACCGTATCTCATACATTTGTCAATGCATACGGAGTTTGTTCTGGAATGTTGGGTAATGTAACTCCACAGCCTGCTACACCCAGGCTGAACCCAGGGACAGCTGTGAGGTTAGCACCCTCACCCTCCTCTGTGTCTGCAGAGACAGCACTGGGGTATTCGGGGACATCTGTGACCCTGAGAAAGTAGGGACAGGACAGCAAGGTGATCAGGAAAAGGCCCTGGAAATGAGTACAAAAGGGAGCAGGAGACATTTCCAGAACAAGGAGCCTCGGGATGATGGCTCACAGAGCTCTGCTGAGCTAGGGCATTCAACTGATGAGGTGACGAGAGGGACCCGGAAGCAGAGCTGCAAAGTCGGCAGGATTTGCTCAATTAGGACGGTGTTATGAAACACAGAAGAATTGCAGCATAAGCACTTAATGACCCAATGTGCCACTCTGCGGGGTGTGACTGCCACTGGAGAGAGAAAGGCCACTGTTACAGAACCCAAGAACCTTCCCAAGCAGGCTGAGGGCAAGGGGTAATGAGGCTGGCACCCTCAGTTCACTGACACCACAATGGGCTGAGCTGCTGTGCTCTCAAGGGCAGGAAGCCCTGCTGGGAAGAAGCCCTGGACAGTTCTTCAGCCGCCTCCTACGAGATGTTATTAGATGTTTCCCTGAGCTGTTAAGGATGTGAACAAAGGCATCTTCCTTCCCCAGAAACCCTTGCTCCTGAGTCAAGGTTAGACAAATGGGACCAGATTCAACTGGCCAAGATCTCCTGTCATCGGCAACCTCCCCAAAAGCTACCTCTTCAAGGCCAGCCTGAAATCCCTTCCCTTTGCTGCTGAGGCCAAAGGGGGGGGGGGGGAGGGAAGGCGGGCAAGACTCACCAGTAGAGATAATAGAAGAAGGACAGGAGGTAGAAGGCCAGCTTACACCAGGCCTCCTTCTGACAGTAGCTCAAGGTGTCCGCGTTCATGACAACTGGTGGGTCGTAGGCTAGTTCTGAGCTATCTGCTGGACAGTGGAAGTACCTGCAGGAAAGAGGACATGGCAGTGGCGTCTCTGAGGCTCAGGGCTCCCCACACTGTCAGGCCAAAGCCACCTAGCATCGGGCTTTTCCGTGAAAACCTGTGCCTCCTGCCAAAGTCAGATTCCAACTGTTGCTATAGTGCAACTCAGCCGCAACCTTCTGCTGGGTGTTTAAGTCCTCCAACAGATCCCGGGGATCATAAGAAGGTGCTCTGGCAGAAGGAAACATGTCACCCAGTATTATGGTCTGGATGTGAACTCTCCCCCATAGGCTTGTGTGGGGGTGCACTCTGTACCAAGCTAGTAGCCCTGTTTGGCTGGACAGGAGAGACAGAGTATGAAACCTTTAGGAGGTAGGGCTTCACTGGAGGAAGTGAAGAAATTATAGGACAGCCCCACTTCCTGTCCCAGCTTTCTGCTTCCATCTTCCAAGGTGTAACAATAACACTGCAAGTTCCTGTTGCCCCAGCCACCATGCCTTCACCGCCATGGCAGGCTGTATCCCCTTAAACTATACGCCCAAATAATGCCTTCCTGCTTGGGTTGATTCTGATAGCCTGGTAACCCTGGGAGTAACCAAGAGCTCCCTTTGGATATAGAAATGTCTGGAAGAACTGTGTCACCTCTTCCTCTGTGTCTACACTCTACCTTGAATACTAAGTGCCTTGGGCTATTGCCCCCTCCCCAGGCTCTCATTTAAACTCCTGAACACCACAGACACATTATAGAGTCATTTTTAAGGGTATTGGTTGTTTTGTTGTTGTTTGTTTGTTTGATAGAAGGGCCCAGAAGAGCAAACAGAGCATTGGCTATCTTTGGGGAAGCCAGGAGTGAGAACTGTAGGCAGAGGAGTCCTCATCAAAGGCCACAGCCATATCAACCCCACAGCTCCCATGACAACTGGGGCTCTTGTCAGTGTCTGCAGTTCTTAGTTCGTGTTCCCCTGACATCGGCAGGGCATATCTTCCCTGTGGAGGCCAAGATCCCAGCGCAGCTGGAATGGTCCAGTGCTGTTCTTTGGTCCTAGTGGGAAAGGATCCTGGGAGGCAGGGGTACAGACTGCCCCTCCAGCCAGACCTGGAACAGTAGCAGTTCTCCATCCTGAGGGAGCCCCAGGCCTGGGCCTGACCTGAAGACTGCCATGAGAGCACACACCTGCAGAGCAGGCATCTCAGTCATCTCTTCCTTCCCCTTCAGAGAATTGCACTGACATTATCTGTCACCGGCACTATGCTAAGAGGACATCAGAAGCCAGATTCGATGACAGCTGCCAGCTCATAGCCCTTGGGCCACTCACCTCTCCTCTTCTCTGGAGCAGATTTCAAACCTATTTGCCGTCACAGTGGCTTTGTTCCCAGGTGACCTCATTAAGTGGTGGAAGAGGAACCGGGTGACCAAATGGCTCTATGGAAAGGACTAAGACTGACTCTTTTGCTTGCTGCTCACCAGATTGTCCTCCCTGGGTCAGTCACCAACCCATCCTAGGCTCAGCCGTAAAATGAGGATGAAAATTGGGATGCTGATGTAAGGTGATGGATGCAAATGGCCTCCCCAAACAGCCACTGGAAAGTGGTGGCCAGGCCAGTTTGACTGAAGCTAAGTGAGTGTGAGGGTAGTCCTGTCTGGTGGCAGGAATCCGACAGAAAGGGGGCAGGTAGGCCAAGGCTATTCGTTCTGACTGTAACATGCTGCAAGCCGAGGACTCGGTCCAGCTCCCAAAACTCAGTTAAAGAGTAGGTGTTGCTGGGCATGGTGACGTGAGGCTGTAATTTCAGAGCTGGAGATGTCAAGACGTGCTCCTTGGGGGTCACAGGCCAGCCAGCCTAGCCTACTTAAGTGAGTTTCAGGCCACCAAGAGACTTTGACTGCTCCTGCCCCCACCCCCAAGGTAGATGGTAATACATGAGGAGCTGCTCTGGAGGTTGTCATCTGAACTCTTCACACATGTTCATATACATGTGTCTGTATATACATAAACACACGGGGGGGGGTGACAGAGAAAACAAAGAGAGAGAAAGGGGGTGTTCTAGGACTCTGGGTATTTAAGTACATCCGTCTTCATGCTGTCTGTCTTTTGTGATCTGATAACGTCCTAAGAGTAAATAGGCTACCAGGGATCCCAAAACCAAGACAAGGTCTTTACAGGCAATGAGACCATGGCTGCTCCCTACATTCCAGGTGTGGGGACAATGGCCAGCTCTCCTTTTCCTCCCTTGGGACAAGTGCTAGCTCTAAGAATAGAGCACAAAGCCAGCGTTCACAAGTTGATTGCCTCTACTTTGGCGGGGCTGGAGGTAGAACCCAAGGCTGCGTATACAGCAAGCACATGACTTATCCCTGGGCCACTTCCCCAGACACTGACCATCACTTAAAGACTCTCCAGAGAAATTTCTTTTGTAGGGAGGAGATCCAGCCTGGGACCGCATGTGAGGTGGAGGGGACACAGATGGCTCTCACAGATGAGGTCAGCCATCACCCTCATGGCCATCTAGCTCAGGCATTCCCTCTCCCTCACCTACAACCAACCAGTGGCCAAAGCCTGCTCAGTTTACTTCCAAAGTTCTGTTCTCTTGCTGGGCCAGGACCCATCTCCATTATCTGGCCCCCTGGAATTTTGTCATGCTCCTAATTAGATTTGGACTTCCATACACCTCTGCTGGCCCATGCTTCACACTCCGCCAGGATCACCTTCCAAAGAAATGCCACTTTCTTCCTCCAGAAGTTCTCACGGTTTCCAGTCCCCGCAAGACCCTCGCTCTCCACCAACTCTGCTTGGACTCTCCATATGAGATTCCCAGCTGCTCGCTAACTGCACCCTCCAGGAGCCCCCATCCAACCATGCAGAAGGATAAAAATTGTCCCCCAAACATGCCGAGTGCACTCTCACTTTTGGGCTTTTGTACATGCTTTTCTGGATTTTTCTACACTTTTCAGACTAACTTAAGTGTTTCTTCCACTACATTCCTACACGTCATCCTCATATGTCTGTCATTCCTTCTGCTGCTAAAATGTACCTAGGATAAAGATTCATACATATTTTCATCTAGGAATTCCCCTCAATGCCTAGCAAGCAGTGCTCTATACCTTTGCTGGTGACAGAGTGGAATGTTCTAGGTGTGGATAACTCAAGGCTATGTTTTATGGGAAAGTGGCAATGACGGACCAACTGGCTTAGGGGGTCCAGAGCTCTGAGATGAAAGGGTTTGAGGAAGGCAACTGATCCACACAATTGCAATCTCCACTTGCCCGGCATTTCCGACCTCTGCTCCATATCCATCCTATAGGAAACCCACACCGTGTGATCCAAAGCCCAGTCTTAGAGGAGAAGAGCATATTTAACCTCATGAAGTTTGTTCTTTTGACGTGTATACGCAATTCGCTGAGTTTTCCTGTATTTATGGAGCTGTACATCGATCACCACTAACTCCAGAGCATTTTCACTACACTAGCCCTGAAAAAGAAATTACCTACTGTCAGTCATTTCCTGTTCCCCTCAGCCTTTGGAAAGTACTAGTTTACTTTAAATCTCTATGGATCTGACTATCCTGGAAATTTCATATCAACAGACTCATTTAATGTGTGATCATTGGGTGTGATATCTTTTACTATGCTTTCTTTGTGGCCCATCCATACTGTCGCATGTTTAAGTACTTTGTGTCTTTTTCACTACCAAATAATGTGAATGGATACGCCACATTTTCTTTACCCATCCAACACCTAATAGGCATCAATGTTGTTTCCATGTGTTGGATACAGTGAGTGATGTTGTGGCTGCTTTTCACACTAACCTGCAGGATTGAGGTTGACTAACAGAGTCAAGAGGACTTACTTCCAGCTCTGCAGAGTAAATTTGCTCTACATATCTTTGTTTACCAATTTGACACAACCTATGGTCATCTCAGAGGAGAACCTTCACCAAGGAACTACCCAGATCATACTGACCTATGGGTGTATCTATGAGAGACTGTGTTGACTGTTGACTGATGCAGGAGGGCCCAGCCCATAGTAGGCAAGCGGTACCATTCCCTGGTCCAGGTGGTCCTGAGTTCTGTAAGAGAGCTAGCTAAACATGAGTCTGCCAGTGAGCCAGCAAAACCAGTCTTCCGTTGTTTCTGCCTTCAAGCTTCTGCTTGAGTTTCTACCACTCAATAATGTTCCTTCCCTAAAGTGCCTTTGGTCAGAGTGTTTAATCACAAAAGGACTGTATATCTATAACAAGGTTTCTAAAAGGAAGGGATGAAAGGAAGGCACCTAGTAGCTGATGTATCTGGGCATACGGCCATTGGGTGGGAAAGTGAAGGAGGAAGGACCAGTCCCAGACAGACCTACCTCCAGAAGTGATAGAAAAGCAGCGGCACATTCAGCCCCAGGGTGAGCCACTCCTGAGCACACAGGAACATGATGCAGAAAAGGCTGTGGATAGAGTACTCTGGCAGCACCAGCTGGAGAGGAAGCAGAGACACACACAGGCCTGATTAGAGGCGCTCCACCCACCGCCGCCTCCCATGCAAAGGTCTACCCTGCAGCACGCTCACTTCCCTGTGACTGACCATTCTGGGGAAATGTTCCGTGTTTCAGACCCAATCCCAAGCAGACACAAGCCCTCTGTTCTTGCCTGGGGAACAAGGGAGGAGGTTACTCAGCATCGAGGCTGTCTGGGAAAACTAGGAGTTTCTCTATCACCTGCCACCTTCCTGGCTCTGTGTTTCTGGCTTCTCTGTGCCCTCCTCTAGCTAATAGGTGTGTTTATTCACAATACAGGAAGGTTAGGAGTTCCTAATTTAGAAAGGCAATGGCTGATGATGGGCAGACCAAGAAGAACCCGAGAGAAACGTCAAGTAGCAGTGGTGAAGACAGGTAGCCTCTATGTGAAGGGAGAGAGACGATCTCAGACTCAGAGGGACCATATGGCAGAGGGACACCTCTCTTGGGTGTGTACATGTGGCATAAATGAGCAGTGTAAGCTAAAGATAACTAGAAGGTGGGAATTCAACCCCTTCCAGTACAGAAAGCTATGGTTATGCAAACACACTCATGTAGGCAGGACACACATACACACACAAGCATGCATGTGCATGGCCTGTGCATCTCTCTTAGACCATCACAAATGTTCTAGTCTTCCAACAAACTCTGCCTTTCAAAGGCCATCTCAAACTTGTTTCTAAAGGAATCCCTACCCATCGTCTCCTGCACCTCTCATCCCTCCCACACCTGACCCCTTTTATAAACTTACATAAAAAAAACACTGAAGTTTTAAGTCACTGACTGTAGTTCTTGACGGCAAAAAAAGAATAGTGTGTGTGTGTGTGTGTGCACGTGTGTGTGTGTGCACATGTGCACGTGATTTGAATCAATCCACTTGGGTACAGAACATGACTTTAGCCTTTCACTGTAGGCAGATGAGCTACCTGACCAGTTGGCCCTTGAAGAAGACAAGGACATATTCACATATTAAAAACAAATGCACATACAGGCACACATGTGAGAAATGTATTTTATAATTGGAGTCTCTCTTTGTCATCAGCATCTGGTGGAGTGAGGTGCGTTAAACTTAAGTGAATCCGTGAGCACTGTCTCTCCAGGGTCATGACTTCAGGGGGTGAACCAGGCACTGCCTGCACCTATGAATCTCAACCCTGTGGCAGGAGGAGGCACGTCCCATCATTTCTCCTTAGAGGACCTCAAAGTTGTCCTTGCCAGCTTCATCTGTCCCCAGCAGGGCATTGCCCAGATGCCTCCCATGCATGGAGAAAGCCCACGTTCTTGGAGCTAGCATGCCAGCCCTGCTCTGCCTCATGCAGCATCTCTACATTCCAAGAACTTATGCCAAGTAATTAACATGTTTAGAGACAGCCACTCTGGGCCTGAATCATTCATTACAGCTCTATTCCCGTCTCCAATGCCAATGACAAACCTCTGAATGATGACAGTTCAGAATCCATGTCCCACGATCAATCACACTGCTCCTCTTTCTTTGGGACTTGATTGATAGTGGAAGCCGTGACAAGCAGGGAGTGTATATCACTAATCCCCGTGTGGGGGAAGCTACTTAACCAAGGCCAGCTCGCCTTTTAGGGGTGAGGAGAAAAGCTAACAAACTTCTGCTATCCTGAATGGCTCTTCCGACTGCCCCTGAGCATCTAAAACACTGGGCAGGCTCCTCTCCTTAACCCCAGGAGACTTCCCATGGCAGCAATGTCCTTGTGGTATACTTATTGTCCCTCCTATTCTCCAGGCATCCCTTGTCACACTGATATGGACAGTGGAAGGACCTTACTCCTCCCAGACCAGATGGGGCTTAGGCAGGTCACCTGCACTGGTCAGCACCAGGGCCCCTCTGCACCAACTCTCCTTTCCACTACTTGGCCTTCGGAGCATAAGACATTATGTCCCAGATCCCAGCAGTTGGGAGGGGCCGCAAGGGCTGTGAGTGGGAACTATATGAGAAGGCTGAACGCTTAACAGCCAAAGAAAAATGCCCCAAAGTCCTATTTTGTTCTCCCTGACGTTGCAAAGAACAGTTACAACAATGGGTACACTCCATTATCCTGACACCACAAGTAAGGAGCGAGGCCCCTGGGCAACCTGTGATGAGTGGAGTGAGAACAAAACATAAACTTTTGTTGTTCTGAGCTACTGAGAGTCATATGTTGCTTCTCACTGCAACACACTTTGATCCATCCTGTCTGATATAGTCAGAGCCCCGGGATGAAAAATCAATGAGAAAAGCAAGGCTGTGTTATTCTTCCCTCTTCATCCTCTCTGCCCATCCTTCCAGGTCTTTGTTTAATAAGCCACTGAGGACACGGTGACATGCTCCTGTCACTGGGCATGTGGCGCACCGGGGCAAAAGGCCAACAGGTAGGCAGAATGCTTGTTCAGTCTGGTGTGCAGCCAGCTGGGTGGCTCCCTCCCAGCTCAGACAGAATGAGTGCTAGAGGAAGATGCCCCACCCCTGAACCTATCAGAGAAAGTGCATAAAAGTTGACTGAAACTCTGACCACACCCCTGGCCAGCATCATCCCTTAGCATCGACAGATACCATTTCCTGTAACGGAACTGTTGAATGGCACCAATCCCTGTGATTCACTGAATGAATTATAAATAGGAACCACTTCATTCAGTCCACAGCCTGCCGAGACCCCATGCCCTGCTTTCCTGTGGTTATAAATAGTAAGAGTGGTCTTGATATAGACATGGAAGGATTGCTGAAAAGATGGCAGCTCAAGCCAGCATTTCCTACACACACCTATGACCCCAGGCTAAGGGAGCAGGCTACATGGTGAGATCTGGTCTAAAAAAAAAAAAAAAAAAAAAAAAAATTCTAACAAGCAAAAGACGGCAATGCATGCCAACTGGGGAATGACTGGGGCTTTGTGATCAAGGCAGGACCAAACACTGTTGGAAACGAAGAATAGACCTAACTATGTATGGAAACCAGAAGTCAGCATTTAGATGGCAGGGCTTGCAAAACTGAACACGGGGCTGAGGAGATTGCTCAGGGGTTATAGCACTTGCCACACACATGCACACAGTATGCATGGTGGCCCACCTGTAATTGCAGCCTCAGAAGCAGGTAACAAGAGATCTTCAGAACAAGCTAGCAGGACCAACCATAAAGGACAGGATCTGGGCTTAATTGAAAGATCCTGCCTCAATGATGAAGAAAGAAGAGTGATTGGGGACAATCTCCACCATCAACCTTGCCTCAACATACTCGTGCATACATGTGTACCCACACACACTTGCCCACACATATGCAAACACATGTACACATGCACTACACACACACACACACACACACACACACACACACAACAGAACAAGAAGAATCAACAACAACGAAACAAAGAAGACACTGCCGTGGCTCTTTCACAAGCCACCAAAAGGGCCGCTCATTTATCAGAGTTTGGGTCAGGCCTGGTGCCAGGTTAAGCCTGGAGTACCTGCCAAGCCTGTTCCACTTCTGACTTCCTGCCCAGATTTTAGTAGTCAGTTTCCATCGTCTGGCAAGCATCCCCATCTGGATGATCCTGGGCCACTTTGAACTAAATCCTCCCATCCTCCCTGCAAACATTCTCTCCGGAGCCTCTAGCTTGACCCAACACCCTGCCTCTGTGCGTCCTCCTCCCATCAGCCCTCATGGGGACTCTTTCCAAATCTGATATCACATTTCTACAGGGACGCTCAGATCTGCTCTTGCTTTTTATTTCTACTGCCCCCTGCATGCCTAGGCCTCTGTCCTTCCCCCCAAAGCTACTATGAGAACCTCTAGCAGAGTTCTGTCCCAGGGGCAGGATCCCTCTGCCTAGAAGAGCTAAGTCTGTCTCCATGTATGGCCAGATCTAAGCTTTCATCCATCCACAGTCTGGCTTTCCCAGGAATTTTAAAAATTATATTCATTCTTATATGCCAAAATATGTGTAGCTTTATTGGTGATTAAAATAAAGTATTAAATACTTGGTTTTATCAATCTCAAGCATTTAAAATATGTTGTATACAATCAATACCAAAACAGAATAGAGTTATAATATTTAAAACACTTTGCTTTCTATTTTTTTCTGTGATTAAATTTGCTCTTAGATAACTTCACACACAGTACTAGAATCTGGAAGAGAAGAAATCATTGTCTCCAATAAAACTCTCTTTTAAAGAAGATTTAAATTTATTTTTACTTGTGATAATAGTATTTTCTCTCCGACACCCCAGCTTCTCACTCCTTCATGCACCCACCCATTGGTTGCCAGGATGTGGTTGTTGGTAAGCTTATGCGTCTTGGAAGAATAATGCCATGTGACAATTTTAGGGTTCTCCTCGATGTGCTGGTAGAATGAACAGTGGTATGGGAGGAGAGACTTTTCTTAGCCTCACAGGAAGAGGAAGTGGGGAGCACATGGCTATACCCTATACTGGAAGTGCAGGAATGATGCTTTGGAAATGGAGCAAATGGTGAGACATAAGCAGTCAACCATTAGTCCCAAGAGGGTAGGATTTCCGGGAGGAGAAGTATACACATGTATACATATGTGTGTGCGTTCAGGTTTGTGCCTCTGTGTGTATGTATGCATGCAGGGGCCGGATGAGCACATTGGTGTCCTCTATCACGCTTCCCTGTATACCCTGAGACAAACTCTCTCACTGAGCCTTGAGCTTGCCTTGCTTTCCTTCTTCCAGCTGGGCTGGCAGGCAGTAATCCACAGCAATCCTCCTGTCTCTGCCCTAGCAGTGCTGGGGTGACAGTTGTACATGACCATCCCCACTCCAACTTTTTCTGTGCTTGCTGAAGCTCTGAACTCAGGCCCTCCTCACGCTTGCCTGGCAAGCACTCCCATCTACTGAGCCATCTCCCCATGCTGGGGACCAGATCTCTAAAAGGAACAAACACAGTCTACGGTCACGGAAGGCCCACACCCACGGAAGGCCATGGCCACAGAAGATCTGG